AAGCCGCTCACCTCTCTGGGTGTTTGGAAGATTGCTAATGTCCCCTTCTCTTATTTTAGGACTTCTGGGATTTTGGGGGTGGCAGGTCACATCTGTACTTTCCTTCTTGAAAAGATGTAAAAAGTATAGGTTTCCTCATGAATCACCTGCTTGAATTCACAGTCTAAGGGTTCTCAGGCCATGTAGTGGGCGATGGGAGGTGGTGCTCAACTGAGCACAGGCTGGAAGCTGGGGAAAGAGCGGAACAGGTTTTCTGCCCCAGCTCCATCAGTGCATCAATCACCTGGTCTCTTTGTTGTTGCCTTAGAGCCAAAAAGATTCCGAGGACCTGCAGTGGGAGAATGGGCACCTGTGAGCCCGTGGCAGGTGCCCATGGCGGGTGCTGGGCACAGCTGTGACAAGTCCTCTGTTTTGGTCAGGGGCCAGGGTGTGGGAAGCAGTAGGCCTGAATGGAGTGTGCTGGAGCAGGAGGCCCCCTGCTTCTGGGGAGGGCTTTGTTGGGGAAAAGGCAAGCCTTGGCTTCTAGGTGCCCTCGGCTGGAGTGCAATGGTGCGATCTCAGCTCACTGCAGTCTCCACCTCCTGGGTTCAAGTGATTCTCATGCCTCTGCCTCCTGAGTAGCTGAGACTACAGGCATGGACCACCATGCCTAGCTAATTTTTGTATTTTTAGTAAAGACTGGGTTTTGCCATGTTGTCCAGGCTGGTCACGACCTCCTGGCCTCAAGTGATCTGTCTGCCTCCACCTCTGCCTCCCAAAATGCTGGGATTACAGGTGTGAGCCACTGCACCCAGTGTGGAATGGGCTCTTGAAATGAAGAAAGAATTTGTGAAAAATCCAGGGCAGAAGAGTTAGAGAGGTCCAATAGAATCTGGGCAAGTGCCGTGCTTCCAAGGCCTCAGACCATGGGGAAGTCATCTGCCCTCAGAGCCTCAGGTTCCTCAGTTGAAAAATGGGGGTAATAGTGCCCATCTAGAGAGGTTGGTGAGAGAATTAAATAAGGAGGTACAAATGAAGCGTCTAGCATAGAGCCTGCCACAGAGTAAATAATAAATAGTTGTTGCCATTGTTATTGTTGTTGCTGCTGCTGTTGTTAATAAAATTAATGAATAAGTATCTTGAACAAGTAGAAGGAGTAGGGGACTGGGGGTCAGGTTTTTGCTACCCTCTGACTGTGTGATTTCTGTCACCTGTCTGGCTCCTTATCTGTAAGAGCAGGAGGTGGTACCAGCTGATCTCCGAAGCCCCTTCCTGCTCTGACAGCCTCTGGGCTATGAATAGATGAGGCTTGGGCCCTGGAGGAGTTTAATGACTCAACAGCTAAAGAGATTAAGACTTCCTAAGAAATGACTTTCTATTAGTGTTGGGTGAACTTAGGGCACCAGCTAAGGAAGGGTTTCCTGGCTGGGAGGCCAGGGATAGGGAGCTGGAGGAATCCTTCCAGCCAGTGGAGACAGTGACTAACCAGGTGAATGACTAAGTCAGACCCTGCCGACCTCCAACCAATCAGGGTTGCGCATGAGCACCCTGTGAACTGGCATCACTGAGCACAGCTTGGCTGTGTCAGGTCTGGCTGGGTCTGAGCTTCATAGCATATGCAGGCAAAGGAAGCAGCCAAAAGACCAGCAGGGAAAGAGCACTGGGCTTGGAGTCAGAAGACCCAGCTTCCCACTCTGACTCTGCTGCTCACCAGCTGGGTGACTCAGGGGGAGCTGCTTCCCTTCCCTGAGCCTTCACACCTTCATCCAAGCAGCAGAGCTAACAATACCTGCCCGGCAACTTCGCCAAGTTGTGAAGACTGAGAATCATGACATGAGATGCAAGTGCATTGTGATCACTAAGGTACCAAATGATGGGAGGTGCTGTCATTATTCCATCCCAATGGGACACCTGGTATCAGAATGAGATTCATTCATGTTTTCAAAGGGATTTGGTGAACACAGGCTGCTGCCCTTGGGTTTGGGGCCAGAATCAGCCTAACTTAGGGCCCCTTCCAACCATCTGATCACAGCCCAGATAGGTTTTCCTTAGAGTAGAGACCCTGTGGACAGCTTCCAGCAAGGTGGCATAGCTGTAGTGGAAGGCAACACAAAGCCAGGATGGTCAGGTGGTGGAGGGAGGCAGCAGTGCCAGGCTGGGGCCCCCACAGAACCAGGGTGGTGGTCTGATGTTGTCTTTCCTCTTGCCCAGCACTTTATAAATAAATAATCACCGGAACCGCACTCTGTTTGCCTCTCCCCTCATGGCTTTTAGCGTCTCTCTTGGTGAGGATTGCAAGCACTTTGGGAAATGGCAGGGGTGGAGGGAAGGATGCTGCCCTTTCATTTCTGCACACCTTAAACCCATCAATAGCATTCTGTGTGTGCTCACAGCCTCTGGGTGCTATGCTGGTACTTGGAGAACAGAGACAGGAACTGCAGGGTCCTGCCCGCATGGAGATTAAGTACAGTGTAGTCAAAGAGACAGAACACTTCTCCTATAATGTAAATAACCATTCAAAACAGCCAACAGTGTGTCACCCAGATCATCCTGCCAGTGAGACCTGCAGTTGTCCAGAACAGTGGCCTGGGAGGCTTTGAGGAGGAGCTGGGATTTGAGCTGGACCTGGAAGGTTAGCATGGACAAGATAAATAGAAGGTAGAGCCAGGCGCAGTGGCTCACACCTGTAATCCCAGCACGTTGGGAGGCCGAGGTGAGAGGACTACTTGAGCCCAGGGGTTTGAGGTTGTGCTGAACTATGATTATACCACTGCATTTCAGCCTGGGTGAGACAGAGTGAGACTCTTTCAAAAAAAGAAAAAAGAAAAGAAAAGAAAAAGGGTAGACAAAAAGGCATGCCAGACAGGCATACTTAAGGTATTCTCAGAAGACAGGTTGGCAACTGTTGAGAGGGATCACATAAGTAAGAAGTGAAATGTGAAGTCAGACATAGAGGTTGGAGCCAGGTATGGAGATCCTCAAAATCTGAGATAAGGAGCATAGACCAGATTCCATGGACAGTGGAGAGCCACTGAGTGATTCCAAGGGAATAGGTTTGGTGACAACTGAGTTTTTCTTTCTGGCAGCATTGTCCAGGGAAGCATGGCTTGTTGTGGGGTAGGCAGGGAGGTCAGTTGGGAGGTTACTATGAAGCTGGGGACCATGGGCCTGAGAAGGAAAGGGGACACAGGCGAAGGCTTGATGTGTGGAAAAGAGGGAGAGAGAGGGTCCGAGGATGCTCAGTCTGATTCTTCTGATTCTCCAGACAGCTAAACAGCTACTGAAATCCTGGCAAGTAGTAGTGGGGTGTGAGAGTGGAGGAGACTGCAGACCAAACCTGGACTGGTCTTTTTCAGGAGGCGGGCTCCTCTTTGGTCAGACCTAAATCTGATCGTCCACCCTAAACTCACAGGATCAGTAGGACCCAGAGGTGCCCCAGCTGGGCTACATCCACTCCCAGGGCCCTTTCCTCCCTCTTCCAAGAGAAGAATCCAGAAACGACACAGCATAGCTCCCCATGGTCCCCAGGGAGCAGTAGATTCTTGGAACAGCGTCCTGCAGTGGACAGACAGCAGGAACAGCATCCAGTCCTGTCTGTTACTCCCTCAGCTCCTGTTGACTCTCAGGAAAACAATACTATCTTCATGGGCTGCGCTAAATGTCAGTGAACCCCTGGGAGCCTGACCAAAGCAGGGAAGGGGACTAGGGAGAGGAGAGGGAACAGTAAAGACGGAGGAAACTGTTTCTGGAGGCATCTCAATGGGCTTTGGGGGAAAGTGAGTTTCATCTCAGAATCCAAGCATGTCAGGGCTGGGGTGGAGCTCTTGAGATCATTTCGGCCACCCCTCCTTGTCTGGAGGTGAGCCTGAGACCCAGGCAGAGGAAAGGACTTGCCCAAGGTCATATAGCATGGCAGTGTTGGAGCTGGGCTGGAATCATAGGGTGTTGGGGACAGGTAAGGTGTTACTCCCATCTGGACAGTTTTGAATAGCACCACCAAGGGCCTGGCTAGAGATTCCTTTCCTGGACGTTTGTGCATTCTGTGTGTGTGTGTGCCTGTGTGTGTGCCTGTGTGTGACTGCCCTGTGTGTACCCTGTGAGTGCCTGTGTGTACCTGTTTGCCTGTGTGCCTATGCCTGTGTTGTCGGACAGTCTGGGTGTATGTGTGGCCTCCTACATGGTGATCTGCCCTGGCTTGGAAAGGAGAACTGGGGCCATTCCTGTGAGGTGACTGTTTTGCTGGGACAGCAGAGAAGGCTGACAAGGCCAGATCTGGCTTCCCACACCAGTTCTGCCGCTCTAAGAAAATCACAGGCACTGACTGGTGGCGACCAAACTCCTGGAGCTGAAACACGCAGACACACGTACACTCACAGCCGCCGTCATAGGGTGGCCCCGAGTGCCCCGAAGTGCCGCATTCCGGCATCCTCATGCCTCCCCGGAGCCCAGCAGGTGTAGACCTGCTAGGCTGTGGAAGCCGATCCGTAGGGACAGGGAGCAGTGGCGCGCTCCCGCCGCTCACACTCAGCGCCCTGTTCCAGGGCCTGGCCCGGCCACACCCCTCCTGCCCGAGCCTCCGCCGGTCGTCCCTGCCCCTCTCACACACTTCGGAGTCCCTGGGGGCCTCTGCAACCTGGCAGGGCCAAGTTAGGGCTGGCCCGGCTGGAGAGTCAGGTCCGGAGCCAGGAATCGACGCCTTCCCGAGTTCCGTCCCCGCGGAGCACACACGCCAGGCTGAACTCGGGTTTCTGCGAGCGCGGGTTTCGGCGCCCAGCCCCTCTCGGGGGAGCCCCTGCCCCCAGCCCCAGTCGGCCCCGGACGACTCCGGGAGCCCAGCGCCCAGCCCTGGATTCCCGCCCCCCGCCCGGCGAGCCGTTACCGATGGTGGTGATGACGGTGATGGCGAAGTAGAAGGAACCGGCGAAGCGCCACTGCACGCCGGCCTTGTGCGGCTTGAGGCGCAGCACGACTCGTTCCAGCTCCTCGTAGCCTCCCTGGCTGAGGTTGTAGCGCGCCCGCAGCTCCTGCTGCCGCAGCTCCAGCCGCTGCCGCTCGATCAGCTCGGGCTCCGACTCCAGCGCGTCGAAGACCGCGGCGCCCACCAGCAGGTAGGTGAAGGTGCACACGATGAGCGCCAGCGTGCGCACGTTCTGCCGCTTCATCTTCCCGCCCGGGCCGCCGCCGGCCCCCCGGCGCCCCTGACCCGCGCCCCGGCCCCGGCCGCCGCTGCTGCTGCCCAGGAGGCGGCCTGGGGCATGGCTGCGCTCGCCGCTCTCCGCGCCGGGCACCCGCTCCGCGCCCGGGGCCGCCGCCGCTGCCGCCGCCGCGGAGCTGTCCCTTCAGCACCACCCACCGCCCTCCTCCGCCAGGCCCCGCGCCCGCCCCCCGCCCCCCGCCCGCAGGCCGCCTCCTCCCGCCAGCCCTCCCGCCCAGCCAAATAAGGACTGGGGAGACGCGCCGAGGAGGGAGGAGGGGGGCTGGCGGAGGGGACGGGAGGGGCGGCCGCGGGAGAGCCCGGGCAGGACAGAGAGAGAGAAAGAGAGAGAGAGCGCGAGCCCGGGAGACAGAAAACTAGACAGCGAAACGCTGATAACTACGGAGAATGGGAGAAAGGCAGTGTAGGACTGAGGGAAGGGGGCTGTGTGACAGAGGAGGAGATAAAATCAGAGGTGTACTCAGACAGAAAAAGAAGAGAGGCGGGCAGAAAAATACAGAGCAAAAGATGGAAACAGAGAGAGCAACAGACTGAGACAGAGAGGCCTGGATTGCTGGAGATAAACTAATGACACAGAAACAGGAAGGCAAGGAAGGCAGAGCGAGCCCCTCCCCACCCCACCCCACCCTCCACCCTCGTCACAGCATATTGCAGCCAGGAGGCACTTGGGGCCTCGCTGTCCTGCCCTTATCCTATGGATGAGGAAACGGAGGCCCAGAGAGGTCAAGTGACACGCATGGCCACGCAGTCATTTCGTGACAGCACTGGGACTCAGCCAAGCGTTCCTTCCTCCCAGGCCACACTCCTTCCTCCCTTGGGCCAGACTCTGGCTGTCTTGGAAGAAGGCAGGGCCCAGCTGTGGACCTGGGCACACATGAGCTGACACCCAGGGGAAAGCCCTGTTCTCAGGCAATGTGTGCCTTCCCAGTTCAGCCCATTTCTTGGAACTGGCTGACAAGGCACAGGCTGGGAGTCTAGGCCTCCTACTTTGCTCCTAGGGGCTTCCAGGCTGTCCCGGCTCCCATGGTTCCTGTCCTGCACTCGTGCACGAGGCTGGGCTTAGGCTGAGCTGCTGGATATAGCACCTGCCACCACCTTAGGGCATCCCAGCAGAACTGGGATCTAGCTGGAATTGAGCAGGTGGGGCCCAGAGCAGGAGGCTCACTGGCAGACTGGGGGAACTGGGGCAGGAGAGGGAGTCCCTATGTCTCAGTTTCTTCATTTGTCAACATGGTGGCTATGGTGGTGAGGTGGGAAGGGCAGTGGAAACTCAGGCATTACTGACCCTCTCAGAGCCTTGTTTCCTTATCACTTCAAAGAGGTGTCGTAGCAGATGATCCCATAGGCCTTGCCCAGCTCCAAACAACTCCAGACTTGGATGGGCTGAGTGAGCAGAATGACTGGAATGCAAATCTCAGTGCCAAGGAGGGTTAAAAAGTCCTTCACAGGACCCTGGCATGGGCCACGCAGAGAGACGGGGTAGAGACACCAAGGCCCCTGACTGAGAGCAGACTCAGGAGGCAGTCAGCCAGAAGCCGGAGCACTATCTACCCACAGGCTGGGCTGACCTGTCACTGCCGGACACTACACTCCTCCAATGACACCCCAGAAGTGCCACCAACACCTTCATTCCTTCAACAAGTATTTATTAAGCATCTGTTGTGTGTCAGGCATTCATCATTTCTAGCCCTTACCACAATCCTGAAAGGTAGGTGTGGTCATGCCTATTTTATAGATGGGGAAACTGAGGCTAAAGGCAACGTAGAGAATCAGTAAAGTTCACTCAGCGGGGAAGAGGCTTCAGTCTGTCTGCCTCTTAAGCCCATGCTCTTTGCTATGACTCCTTGAGTCTCTTTTTTTTTTCCAATTTTTAAAGTGGAATAGATAATAATATTAGCTCTACCCACATCTTGAATCATTTGTTTTGAGAGATCAAAGAAGAACACATGTGTGCAAATCAGATGATATGAGGCTCTCTAATGACTTCAGAGCCTGATGGGAGGGTCCTACATTTACAGAACTGTGTTCCCCCTCCCCCTTCAAAGGAAGATCTTTGTTTCTTTGCAGGCACAGACTTTCTGGTCTTGCCCTCTGACCAGGAACTCAGCCTATTGCAGTCTTTTTCCCTTTGCATCTTCTGGCTCCCTGGAAGAAAAGTACTGCCGTTCCCAGCTTCTCAGAGGTGAAGGTACAAGTTAGGTTCTATGCATTTCTGATGTATTGGCTCCTGGCAACAATCACCCCAGAAGCCAGTTCCTCCAAAGCCTGTCTAGATGAGTAAGAGGGTTGCTAGACCAGGTTTTCAAGGTGAAAAGGCTGTGTCCAGGTTCTGCTTGCTTGTGACTGCCAGGCCAGACAGCTGTACTGATGAAAGGTGATATTATGAGCGAAAGAGCTTTGGAAAAGGGAAAAAGCTGACTTTAGGGGCAGGGCATGTATTATTAATCATGATGAAGCTTTTTCTCACAGCACTTCAATATTGAAAGGACCTTTAGAGATCATCTAGCCCAACCTTCTCGTGTTACATATGAGGAAACTGAGGCCCAGAGAGTAGGAAGAGTGTTGTCCAAGGTCACACGGTGAGTGGGGGGTGGGACCAGGACTCATGTCCCAAGGCTGGCACTTCCTTGTTGCACCTATTATGTATGGGACCAGGGCACCCGTCAGTGGGGAGGCCCTGAAACCCAGAGGGCAGCCTGGGTTTCCTTCTTCCTGCCCCTCCTCTCTCCTTCTCTTGGGGCGAAGGTTTTGGGGTAGGAGCCATGTTGGTACCAGTCTAGGTTTCTGAGTAGCCCCTGGGACTTGTAGGCAACCTGGGTCAGATTATGCCAAAGACATATCAGCTTATCCCATTTCCTCCCATCCTGGGCTCCTCAGACCTGCCTGTGCCTGCCCAGTGTCAACCTGTCTCTGCCATCTCTTTGCTCTGGCATTGGGGACCAGTTGCTCCTTCTCCTTGGCACTTGTTGTACATCCGTCAATGGAGGGGTCTGGACCAGGAAATGTCTACTCTCCCTTCATTTACAGCATCCCATGACCTTCCTGGATTCTGTTTCTCTAGTTCTCCCAATAATCAGACAAAAAGAGGAAATAGCACTACTTTTAAGATTCTAGTTTGTGAGGAAAGGGACACAGTGTTAGGTAGGATAAATTGAACAGAATGTGTCATTAGTAACTATATTTTATTATATACTAACATCATACACAATTATTCACCAGCTTTATCTTCCAGTCCATTCCTCTGTAAGTTCTAAACACATCCAATTACTTCCATGCTTCACATGGCTCATGTGGCTCCCATAGCCTGGGATGCTAGTGCCTCCTTGCCTTTCCCATCTTCTGTCTGTTGAACTCCTATTCAGGCTCCAAGACCCAGCTTAAAGACCACACCCTCCATGAAGCATTTCCCAGTTTCCTCTGATCAGAACCACTGGCTCCTTTTGTGCTTCTGCAGCACCCGGTCTAAGCATCAACTCAGCAGGTATTCCTCCTGCCTAGAAGATTAGCTGTTCTTTCACATCCGTCTTCCCCGCTGGCTCATTATCTTCTCCAGGGTAGAGGAAACCCTTCTCACTCATGCTACTCTCCCTGCAGTGCTTTGCACCTTAGAGCTGCTCCACATGTTTCCTTGAGTGACTCACTCAAATGAAGGCTTTAAGGAACTCTATACCTGAGTTAGAGACCATCAGTATCAGAGGGAGAGGGGCACAGATGGCTGAGTCTGCAGGCAGAAAAACCCTGGCAATCTGCTTCTGTGGCGCTCTGAAGAGAGGTAGTTCTAAAGCTGGAACAAGCCTTGTCTAGCTTAGGAGAGGAGGATAGAGACAGATGTGAGTGTCCCAAGGCCCAAGGAAGCATGTGGGAGACAGCGTTGGACTAGGAGTCCAGAGGCTGGAGTTTGGTCCCAGTGTTGCCATCAACTACCACCAACTAGTTGGGAGGACTCAAGAAACTCATATGGCCTCTATGTGTCTCAGTTTCCTTTTCTACAAGACAAAAGCATTGGCTGAATCCAAAGGTCCCTTCCTCCTCTGACATTCTGAGATGTTAACAAGAGCCCTGGCCATTTGACCAGCAGTGGTCATTGTACAATGACCAATAACGTGGCCTGAAGGATGAGAGGCCCAAAGACCTCCCTGTCCATTGCTTTCCCACCCCCTGTATTGGCAGTTTGTCTGGAGGATGGGGGCAGGATCAATGAGGTAGGACCCTGAGTCAGACAAACTGAAGTTCAGATCCTGACTCCATCAGTTTCTAGACCAGATCCTCACGTGAAATTCAAGTTCGTTCTGTTTAGAGCAGACCATAAGCTCCTGTAGGGCAGGGGTAGGGCCTTACTCATATCTGTAACCCACAGCTCCTAGCACAACAGCTGACACAGAGAAGGTGTTTGTAAACACCCCTCTATTTTTTCCAGTTGGCCTGGTGGGCTCAGGTGGGCTGGTAGGGCCTGGGGCCCATGGCTGATGTAGGAGGCAGGGTCCGGAACCATCTTGATATCAAGCCAGGGACAGGCCTGAGAAGGGGGAGAGAAGCCCAGAAGCTGCTGCAGAAAGCCAGGGAAGACATTGCTGACACGGAGCGCTGCACCAGGGATCATGGCCTCTGACTGCAGGTGGATCAGATTCAGGGTGCTTTGGGTATGATTGGGGTGTTTCTTGGTGTATCTCTGTAGGGAGAGAAGTCAGGGGATTAGCCTGGCTTTACAGAGCATAACTGGTCCCAGTGCAGCCGGCTTCCGTTTGTCAAGATACACTATTTGTTTAACATCTCAAGCCCAAATCAAACACAAAAGGCAACTGTTAACAAAGAGAGGCTCTGTGGGCTGTGGCGGAGAGCACACGGGGCTGGGAGGCTGGACACCTGGCCCTGTTCTTAGCCCTGCCCAGTCAT